TTCACCTCCTCCACCTCTTGGGGCTGCCCCAAGCCTTCCCAGACAACCCAACACTCACCTGCTCTCAACCCAACCTCCCACAAATGGGTTTGAAGTGGGAACTGGCTGCTTTACTCTATACTGGGTTTCTAGTTCCAGCCGCAGCTCAGCCCTGCTCAGATCCTCACCGCAGGCAGGGCTGGAGCTCCAGCTTATTCTAGGCTTAAATTCCAGGGAGGAAGAGGAGAAGGATTGATTATTGGAGCAGGTGGGAGTCTCTGGCTCCAGCTGGATCCTGCCTGGATGCTCTACAGACACACTCCAAGGGGCTGAATGTGGTTCCATCCCAGGAATCACTCCCAGACTGGCAGGAGGAAGGGGCTGAAGGTGGTTCCATCCCAGGAATCACTCCCAGACTGGCAGGAGGAAGGGGCTGAAGGTGGTTCAATCCCAGGAATCACCCCCAGACTGGCAGGAGGAAGGGGCTGAAGGTGGTTCCATCCCAGGAATCACCCCCAGACTGGCAGAAGGAAGGGGCTGAATGTGGTTCCATCCCAGGAATCACTCCCAGACTGGCAGGAGGAAGGGGCTGAAGGTGGTTCCATCCCAGGAATCACTCCCAGACTGGCAGGAGGAAGAAGGTGCCTCCATCCCACCTGCTCTTGGGGCTCAGGGAGGGATCATGACCCAGAAGTGGCCACGTGGCTGGATCCAGTCCCAAACCCATCCCCAGATTCCCACAGAGGCTTTACCTGGGAACCAGGGATCTTCCCCCTAGTCCTGTACAGACTTAGAGCTGGGTGGGCAGTGGGTGCCCAAGCCAGAGCCTGGCTCTTTGGGATCCCTCTGCCTTTACCTGGGGTTGGATACCTTTGGGCTGAGCTCTGTCTTCACCAGGGTGAGGTATTTGTGCAGCTTCTGCCAGAGGATGGGCTTGGGCAGGCTCCCGTTGGCATGGATGGCATGGACACGAGCCATCTCCTGTGCCACCAGCCTGGAGGGGAGAGCACATATGGGGGGTGAGAGGTGTTCCCAAGCAGCATTCCTGAGAGCAGTGCTCCCCAAAATCCCCCTCAAGACATCCCTGAAATAGCCTTGGGTATCTTGAGGGGAATTCCCTGAAAATCATGTCTAAAAACACAGGCTCAGCACTGCTGAAACCCCTTCCACGTCAGCCAAGCTCTGAAGCATTTCAGACCCTCCCTGGGTCAAACAGCAAGTTCATCCCAAAGCTGTATTTCCCAGGAACTCTCTATCCCCCAAACCCCAATGCTTTAAAAGTTTGGTGATAAACCCAACTGCAGTTTGGCTCCTTCATCCCACCCAGGGCTGTGCCCACCAGGGATGCTCCAGCACCAACCCAGAGCCACAGCAATGAGGGGAGAGCTGGAAACACAGAGCAAATCCTTCCTGCCTGGAGAAGCACCAGTTCCCCCATCCCAAGGCTCCCTCCAGGAGGACGTGGGGGGTCTCACCCACCTGAAGATGTGAGGGTCCCGCACGTGGTCGGGGCCCAGCGCGATGCCAGGCAGGAACTGGTAGCAGAGCCCGTTCTGGAAGGCGCAGTACAGGTCTGGGGCACAGCCATGGGCACGGAGCACCTGGAAATTCCTCAGCTCTGTCTCCCTGTCCACAAACAGCTCTGTCTTCCTGCCATACACACGGACCAGCACTGCATCTGCCATCCCCTCATCCGTGTAACAGGCCACCAGCTTGTTGGTGATGCCATCAGTGAAGAGCTGGAGGGGGAGAAGAGCAGCAGAGATGATGCCTGTGCATCCTTGCCAAGCCAGCTGGGAATGGGGAGACTGCCCACAAGCAGATCTCAAGGAGAAAGCAACATGGCAAAGGCAGGAATGGGCAAAAGAAGGCACAAGGAAGCACAGCCAGGAAAGCTCCCATGAGAGGTGACACGAGTTTGCAAGGCCTCAATGCTCAGGGGTGAACTGGAGCTCTGTTCATGCCACAGGCACAAGGCTCCAGCAGCACCAAGCTGGTGGTTTGGGTGGAAATCCTGCTCTTTTTCACCTGGGAGCCTAGCTGAGGAATAACTCAGGACAAGCTGAGGTCAGATGTGCTGCCAGCACGGTTGGCACAAGAGCAACCCCGGGAATCGCTCCCAAAAAAACCAGCGTAAATCTCTTGGCACAAAACAAGGGGAGGGAAAAAAAAAACAACCAAACCACAAACCCCAAGTAGGCAGAAAACAACCGGGAGCAAACACCACCACCCCATCCCCTCCTCTGACCCTCCCCGCGGCGCTGATAGGCAGGGACGTCTCTGCTGGGGACGTCTCGTGTCACTGCTCTGACGGCTCCTCGCAGATGGAAAGGGAGTTTTGTTCTCCCTGCACTCCGCCTTGGCCG